TCTAAAAGCAAGGTGATTCCACTTTTACAGTTAACAGAGACGTGCTTACAGATTTCAGTGTTTTTATGTAAGATCATCCTGCAAGAGATATCGTGGATATTAATCGATGCTGTGGTGAGGGCACAAAGCTTTCCTAATACTTTTTCATGCAATATACGATAGCCTAGTTCAGGAATACCAAACGTAGGATGATGTTACGGACAATCCTTCTCGAAAACGATTTGTTACAAGATCATACACACGCAAAGGTATACCTGAGAAGTGCATGTTTAAAGTTTCCTTTAAAAGAGCCATTTCACAATCTGGACGCCTTAGGAAAGAAGAAGCGGCTATCCTGTCTAAGGGGCCAATTTTAGAAGCATAGATTATAATCTTTTTGGACCAAGAGAGCGGCATTACCGGTAAAGAAACCCAAGATTACCAACCTGCCATCAATAAGATATATGTTCACGGTGATTGTTTAATCCACTGTGAGTAAATTGGAGGCAATTCAAGAAAATCCTATGTAGTCTATGAAAATCCGAGGCACTCCAGGTAATCCATAGAAATGCGAGGCAATCCAAGGAGGTGTGAGATAATCCAAGGAGATCCGAGGCAATTGGAAGATACGGAAATCCAAGGCAATCCAAATAAATCCAAATCAAGGAGGCTTGAAGTAATCCAAGGAGATGCAATTCAAGGAAACGCGAGGCAATCCTAAGAGATCCAGGGTAATCCAAGGATGTCCGAGGTACTCGAGGGAAAACTAAGCTACCGCAGAAATCCCGGGTAATTCACGGAGATACGAGGCAATCCAAGGAGGCTTGAAGTAATTCAAGGAAATGCGGGGCAATCCTAAGAGATCCAGGGTAATCCAAGGAACTCCGAGGTACTCGAAGGAAAACTAAGCTAACGCAGAAATCCCAGGTAATTCACGGACATACGAGGCAATCCAAGGAGACTTGAAGTAATCCAAGGAGATACAATTCAAGGAAATGCGAGGCAATCCTAAGAGATCCAGGGTAGTCCAAGGAACTCCAAGGTACTCAAGGGAAAACTAAGCCAACGCAGACCCAAAGCAATCCAAAAAGATCAAAGGAAATCCGAGGTTATCCATGGAAGGCAACCCAAACAAATCCAGATAATTCATAGAAATACGAGGCAATCCAAGAAGGTCCGAGCCAATTGAAAGAGGCAGAAACCTTAGGAAATACAAAAATCGAATCCAGGTAATCCACAAACATACGAGGCAATCCAAGGAGGCTTGAAGTAATCCAAAGAGATCAAATTCAAGGAAACGCGAGCCAATCTAAATAGATCCGGGGTAATCGTAGGAATTCCGAGGTACTCCAGGGAAATCTGAGCTAACGGAGAAATCCGAGGTAATCCACGTAAATCCGAGGTAAACTAAGAGGGTTTGAGGTAATCAAGAGCAAGGAGGTAAGGAGCCAAGGAAATTATAGGTTCTCCATAGAAATCCGAGGTAATCCAAGAAAATCCAGGTGATCCACCGAGATGCGAAGCAATCCAATGAGATCTGAGTTTATCCAAAGAGATCCGAGACTATTCAAGGGGACCCAAAGCAATTCAAAAAGATCCAAGAAAATCCACAGAAATGCGAGGCAATCCAAAGAGATCCGGGGTAATCGAAGAAACTTTGAGGTACTTCAGGGAAATCCGAGCTAACGCAGAAATCCAAGCTAATCCGCGGAAATCCGAGGCAACCCAAGAAGATTTGAGGTGATCCACAGAAACGCTAGGCAATTCAAAGAGGTCTGAGGTAATCCAAGCAGATCCGAGGCAATTGAAGAATACCCGAGGCAATCCACAGACACGAGATATTCCTAGCAGGTTTGAGATGATACAAGGAGATCCAACCAAATTAAAGGAATCGCGAGGTAATCCAAAGAGATCTGGGGTCATCCTCGGAAATCTGAAGTAATCCATGAAAATCCAAGGCAATCCACGGAAATTCAGAGGCAACTCAAGGAGGACTGAGATAATCAAACGAATCCAGGTGATCAGCGGAAATGCCGAGGCAATAAAAGGGAATCCAGGTAATTCAAGGAAATGCAAGGCACTTCAACGTGGTCTAGGATAAAGCAAGGTGAATCGAGTTTATTCAAGGAGTTCCGAGGCAATATATATATATATATATATCATCCAAGGAAAGCCCAGGTAATCCAAGGTAAGGAGATAAGAGACAATATAATTAGATCCGGACCAATCCAAGGAAATTGCAAGTATTCCAAGGAAATTCAAAGCAACCCAAGAAATTCTGTGGTAATCCAAGAAGGTCTGAGGCAATATCTGTATTTGTGCATATGGTTGACAATTCTACTGATTTTTCAGATGGTCTATTTTATTCGTACTAAAATGTTTTGAGAACAAAGGTGGTCTTGCCTGATTAGTTAAGGTGCAATTACAAGGGCCTTGAGATTGCAGCCATAAGGCAAATCAATTCCAGGCAGAAAGAAAGTGTTCTTTGTTCGAATTTTCAGAACGTACGAAAAAACAACTTACAGCATTGAAGCATCCAAAAAACGAGAAAGTCCACTGATTATTAATAAACAATGCACAGGTCACAATTTAAAATAGGACAATTCATTGATGGGAAATCCTGAAAATTACGATTTATCTATGAACATTTGGAAAGAGAAAAATGAATGTTAAAAATTCAGTTAAACAGCAAACCAGCTTGCTCAGACATACAAGATATAGGAGCCTTGTACGATCCGTTTACAACCAGTTCCCAGTTCAGTTCAGAATCACTCTAAGATAAACTAACCTCAAGATACACTTCAAGGTCTTGTAGAGCAAAGTTCGAACTTTAATTAAGATACATGGCAAATATTGTAATTTTTAACCGAACATTGAATATATACCCACGATAACACATATCAAATTTGGTTAAACAGCTTTTTTATATAAATTACAATTTTGTTACCAGAACAAATATTTTTCAGGTTTTTTGGATCATTCTGAATAAATAAGGCTTTTCCATTAGCTATTCTCTAAAGATGACCATTTTAGAGTTGCAAACGATTTAATGTCTGAAAAGCCTTAAAAATGGGTATATTCAATGCTTCTTGGTTGGAATTTATAATTTTTCATTATTTAGACCCGGATTTATAAGGCCCTGAAGAGTATTTTGAGCGATTTTTAGCCTTGTCTGGGGGAATTTGGGAACTTTTTGTTTCCGCAGACTGTACTTGTAAAATTACTTGATGAGAAAAAGTCCGATAGAATGGGTCCTCCGAGCTGGCTCGCCTTAGAAAAGCTGTAAAAGCTTTTCCTGGCCAGAAAACGCCATACCATCCTCATTTAAGACCAATAAGTAATTGCCGAGACCGACTCTGTGCTTGCATCGAACCAGGAAACATAACAACCACGGCAGTTCATTTCTAAAAAAACCGTAATTCGTTCTTGACATTTTCAAATACCGCGTTCATATACCCTTGTTTTTATGCAGATGTTACGGCGCTTTACGTTTGTATACAGCAGATCGCCGGGCAGACCAACGTAGCGGATCGATCTTGAACTTAAACTCGCCTTGAACTTTACCTATCAGTTCCAGTATTGTAAAAAATCGTCTGACATTGTTTTCTCTTTGAAACTATCATCTGGCTCATCTGCACATAAATATTAATATTAGTGTCTTTTTTTTTTGCTCGTTGCAAAAGTTGGAATAAGGTCAGCCGTCGGAGTGTCGCCATGGAAAATGTGTCAAGGTTTGTGGCGTGCAGGATAATGCATGGATATATTTGACGTATCAACATGGTAATTTTGCCGTACAAAAGGGATGGATGAAACAACCTTGTGTCACATTATACGGTGATGATTTTATTTCCCAAGCAGACATGGGGGAGCGGTGGCAAAGCATCTATTGTTATTTAGGGCCGTTCCTACAATATTATAGGACGCATTTATGACCTCCTTGATTTTGATAGACTTTTCTCTCCTTCAGAAAGGCTGGGATATTTCTAGGTTTCTACTAAGGATTTTTTCGCGAGTCCACGGTGTAGCACAGTGCATTACCGGGAACTGATACTCAAATTTTCGCGAAGAACGGGAATAACATCGGTGAGGTACTAGCGGGTGGCAGGCCTTATGTCAATGTCATTTAAAAAACAGACATCTCAATTGAAAATTTGTCTTCGCAGTGCCGAAAATTGAGTTAGAATTATTAAATCATAAGTTTTGCATATAGAAACATAGTAGGCCGCGCGAATCGTACGTCAGTACTGAATATTAAACTCACTCTTTAGTAAACTTAAATTCACAGTTTCACAACAATACGTACAGTGAATTTTTAAGTGTCACCAAGTAATTAGAAAAATGGAACTCAACCGAGAACATTTTCGCGCCATAATTTATTACAACTTTCAGAGACAATTATCGCAACAAGAATGCCTTGTTGAGTTACTGTCTGCTTTCGGAAACGAAGCGCCACATCAGTCGACAATTTTCCTTTATTATGGAGAATTCAAACCTGGACGGGTGAGTTTTAGCGACGATCCCAGGGTGGGTGCACCAAAAACGGCAGTCACCCAGGAAAACGTCGATGCTGTGCGCAAACTCATCATTGAAGATAGACATGTAACATATCGCGAAATTGAGGCGTCCTTGAAGATCTCAAAGACCTCAATTCAAAAAATTTTACATGAAGAATTAGGAGTAAAAAAATAATTTTTTCGTTGGATACCCCACCTATTGTCTGAAGAGCAGACAGCAGCCAGAGTTAATTGGTGTCAAAAAACGCTTGAACAATTCAATTCCGGAAACTCAAGAAATGTGTACCTACAGCATTTTTAGTGTTGATGAATCGTGGATTTACTGTTATGTACCAGAAAATAAACGACATAAACCCCGAAAGAAGAATCATCCTCCACCAAGACAATGCAAGCTCGCACACAGCCCAAAAAACAAGGCAGTATTTAAGAAAACGTGGAATTATTGGATCAACCTCCATATGGTAACGATTTATTTACTTTCCCGAAAATTAAGAACACACTGCGTGGTCAAAGGCTCCAGTCATCACCAGAAGAAGCAGTTGACGCATGGATCTGCCAGCAAACGAGTGGAATAAGTGCTTCGAAAATTGATTCGAGCGCATGCAGATGTCTATTAATCTTCGTGGAGAATACTTCGAAAAACAATAAAGTCATTTAAAACTACCTACCTTATTGTTTTATTTCCATACGCAAAACTTAAAAGGCATCCCTCGTATAGGCATCTCCACATTCAGGAATGTCAGCGCGTGCTTCGTGAGCCACCTTTGGCAGCTGGAGCATCGTATCCAGTCTTCGTCGTGGTCCTCTAAGCACACTACGCAAGTAGTTTTTTTTGTGTTAGATGTTTTAGTTAATGGTTCCCTTTTTTAGTTTTATCTCCATTTTTTTCTTTAGCTTTCACACCTTTTGTTTGTTTCCCCTTCTCTCCTATGGCTCTTTTGACTTTATTTATCATTTCTTTATTTTTTTCCTTAACGGTTTTTTCAGCCCCCCCCCCCCCTAGACGTCAGACCATCACCATCATTGTGTTGCTTTCTGTCACATCATGGCGACAGAGGCATACTAACTATAAGTTATAGCTATAGAAACTGAACATCACGATTTTTGGTATCCTTTTGTATTACAAATGCAAGGTAAACACGTGTATTTTGCTATTAAATGCTCTTTGAACGAGCCTTGTATTTTGCTCAATAAACTAGTAGAGTTGGCCGGAAACAGGTGTTTTGGGATAAACAATTCTCAAAAAACTACTTGACCAATATACTCCAATTTTGCTGTTGTTATTTAGAAGTATGTTATGAATCCTACGGAATTGAAGAATTTCAACGGTTTTTTAAATGCATTGTGTGTTGCCGGGATAGTGCAAGTGTCCGACGCTAGGCGCGATCCGGTGTTACGGGACTTCCCCTTATATGTACACTGCACAAAAAAATGATCGGTTTTTTTATTTCAGATTCAAAGAAGGCAACTAAGTTAATCAAGAAGCTTAAAGCAAACATTTTGCGCAATTCAAAAAGAAAATATAATCTCAAAATAGAGCGCTCGATGGCTGACACGAAACAGTAGAAATCTAGAAATACTACTGCCTTTTTGAAGGACAGGAAAAACTATGAAAATCAAGGAGACCATAAAGGCGACCTATACATGTAGGAACGACTGACGATACCGCGGACTCAGTCATACGCTAGGTATTATTTAGTTCATTTAAAAATCACACTGAAGATGCAGTGATTCTCAAAAAATTATGTACACTGCACAAAAAAATGATCGGTCTTTTATTTCAGATTCAAAGAAGGCAACTAAGTTAATCAAGAAGCTTAAAGCAAACATTTTGCGCAATTCAAAAAGAAAATATAACCTCAAAATAGAGCGCTCGATGGCTGACACGAAACAGTAGAAATCTAGAAATACTCCTGCCTTTTTGAAGGACAGGAAAAACTATGAAAATCAAGGATACCATAAAGGTGACCTATACTTGTAGGAACGACTGACGATACGGCGGACTCTAAAGTCATTCGCTTGGTATTATTTAGTTCAGTTAAGAATCACACTGAAGATGCAGTGATTCTCAAAAAATTATGTACACTGCACAAAAAAATGATCGGTCTTTTTATTTCAGATTCAAAGAAGGCAACTAAGTTAATCAAGAAGCTTAAAGCAAACATTTTGCGCAATTCAAAAAGAAAATATAACCTCAAAATAGAGCGCTCGATGGCTGACACGAAACAGTAGAAATCTAGAAATACTCCTGCCTTTTTGAAGGACAGGAAAAACTATGAAAATCAAGGAGACCATAAAGGCGACCTATACTTGTAGGAACGACTGACGATACGGCGGACTCAAAGTCATACACTTGGTATTATTTAGTTCAGTTAAGAATCACACTGAAGATGCAGTGATTCTCAAAAAATTATGTACACTGCACAAAAAAATGATCGGTCTTTTTATTTCAGATTCAAAGAAGGCAACTAAGTTAATCAAGAAGCTTAAAGCAAACATTTTGCGCAATTCAAAAAGAAAATATAACCTCAAAATAGAGCGCTCGATGGCTGACACGAAACAGTAGAAATCTAGAAATACTCCTGCCTTTTTGAAGGACAGGAAAAACTATGAAAATCAAGGAGACCATAAAGGCGACCTATACTTGTAGGAACGACTGACGATACGGCGGACTCTAAAGTCATACGCTTGGTAGTATTTAGTTCAGTTAAGAATCACACTGAAGATGCAGTGATTCTCAAAAAATTATGTACACTGCACAAAAAAATGATCGGTCTTTTTATTTCAGATTCAAAGAAGGCAACTAAGTTAATCAAGAAGCTTAAAGCAAACATTTTGCGCAATTCAAAAAGAAAATATAACCTCAAAATAGAGCGCTCGATGGCTGTCACGAAACAGTAGAAATCTAGAAATACTCCTGCCTTTTTGAAGGACAGGAAAAACTATGAAAATCAAGGAGACCATAAAGGCGACCTATACTTGTAGGAACGACTGACGATACGGCGGACTCTAAAGTCATACGCTTGGTATTATTTAGTTCAGTTAAGAATCACACCGAAGATGCAGTGAATCTCAAAAAATGATTTTAGTTTCCAAAAACGCACTTATGTTTTAAATTCTATCATCTAACTATGAATGCAAAAGCAAAATCGGAATGTATATTTTCTGCTGCTCTTGCTCTTACAGCAGAAATATTGCCTTGGATTTATTGCGTTTTGAAATGACTGCACTGTAGTAATATTAAATTTGATCGCTTAAATTCAGTTTCCATTTTATCCACAAATCTACGGATTAAAGAAATTATCAATTAGGTACTTACATAAGTTCTTATGCTTCCTATAATGCTCTCCATGCAGACCAAAAGTCCAGAACACCTAAAACAAGAAGGCGATATTATTATGACTGATTCCTGAAAATATGCAATTCAGGATTAATGATCCATGACGTTCATACAAGAGACCAGGCTTTCGTACAGGAATAACACATTGAGACTGTTTTTTGTAATAGTGAAGTATTGTAATAGCGAAAAGAATCGAAAATAGGTTTTATATTTGGATGTTGCATATGTACAATCTGCAAGAATCTTAAGTGCGCCAATTTTTTGACCCAAAAAACAAGGTTAAAATCGCCTTAAAATGAATTGATCTTAAAATACTTTTCAAAATCTTGTAGAGCCAGGTTTTAACTTAATTTTGATTCTTGGTGACCACAAAAATTATAATTTTTAACCGAGTTTTTAAGCATTGAATATACCGCACGGTCCCAAGTATCTAAATTAATCTGTAAACCTTGCTTTACAATAACCCGAAGAGCATTTTGAAATTAGCTTATTTTAAGCAATTTTTATCCTTGTCCGTTAGGCCAAAATTGGCGAACTTTGGTTTTCACGAAAGACCATGTCACTCGGATTATGATGAAGTTTTATTACAAGATTACTACCATGCCAAGGATGAAAATGTGGGTTTTAAAACTGGATCCAGTGGTGGTGGAACAACCGATAAAAAACGAATGAGATACAAATCGCTAACGCTTTCTTTGAGGCATAGATTAGGGGTAAACGTGATTGGGTGGAAACCGAAACTGAAATTTTTTATCGAGGAATATGGAGGAATAATTATTTGATAAGCTGATAATTCAGATTTTTGAAAACCCATTTGATGCGGGAGATTAAGTAATATTGTATCTCCAAGTAAAAACTATAAAGATTTTCTTTATTTTCAATAATCAATATCTATGACAAATATAAATGAGAAAGAGTTAAACTATCAAAACAAAAATATCCTCCACTCTTAATATTGTTATTAATTATTATATGAAATATTGGGGCACTAGTTTCTTTTTTAATCCTTGATATAAAACAAAATTAGAGAATATTATTTGAAAAAACGATGTACCAATAAAATACAATAAACTTCTGTACAATTTTTGAAAAAAAAAACGTTCAATTCAGATAAAATATTATTTATACGCGGAAAAACGTAAATTGTTGATAAAAAGTGTATTTGACACTAAAAATTGATCTGCACATATTGATATGAGTAAAGGACAAATTATAGAAAAGACATGGTTCTTAATAATGGAACGCATTGTGTTCTGATTGGCTGAAGAGGTCATCCCACATAGTGTCTCAAAGTTGAGGTAATGGAAACTCATTTTGATTTAAAATATATAACAGTGAACCAAAGACGGTTCAGCATGGAGTTCCACAGGGTACAGTACTTGGACCGATTCCTTCAAATATATATGTAAATTACCTCTGCAGTCTTGCAGTTGATGGCGATGTAATTGCCTATGCTGATGACACTGTGGTGGTGTTTCATGGAGAGACATGGGAATCAACGGGTGAAAAATTGAAGACTGACTTTGCAAAAATTAAAAACCTTCTGGACACATTTAAATTAACTCTGAATATAAAAAAACTCATTAAATTGCCTTCTCTATAACAATGGCTAATAGACCAGAATTTAATCAAATTAAGCTTGATAATATAGATGAGCCTTTGAAAGAAGTAAATGAAACTAAATATTTTGGGATTGTTGTTGTTGTTGTTCGTAACATACTGAACATTAAACTACTATTAATTATTTACAAAGCACCTGTGGTGCCCCGTTTGGTATATGGCATAATTGTGTGGGGTGGGATGTACGGTTCAAATCTTGGGCAGTTAAAAGTGGTGCAGAACCATATTGTAAGGATTATTCTAAAAAACCTAGACTATATCCCACTATGCAACTTTATTCTCAAGAAATAAACAATATTAAAATCTTATATATCCTTGCAGTAAGTTTTGTACATGCAAATAAGAAATTAAATACAAATTATCTGTCCCACAATTATGTGACCCGAGCAAACACCACTCATAACCTGAACCTCCCGCAGTCCAGGCGAGATTTAAATTTGCGTTTTGTGACATATCTTGCACCTAAATTTTACAATTTGATTCCTGCTAATATCAGGAATATTGATAATTATAAAAAATGTAATGTTTCGTTTAAAATGTTCTGTTGGGAAAATCGTGAACAATTTATGTGATCTTAAGTCAAATCTATGACTTACAACAAAAATTTGAAATTTTCTTTAATTTTGTCAATACCGTGTTTCATGTTTTGTTGGTATTGTCGAGTGATTTTATACAAAAATATATATTGCATGATATTTATCAATTAATTACTGTTTTGGACTGTCTTTGCAAATACAAGTTTTTAAACTTACGCGCTCATATATTATAGAGAAACCTTATTTTTGTTTTGTTAATGTATAGATATATTATTTTTTTATTGGTAAATTTGGGTTTTGTTGAATAAATGTGGTAGAGTTCAGGGCGTACTGGTCTCTCCAACAACAACAAGCTAAAATGTAACTACGAGCAAGAAACCGAGATTAGAGCAGAATTTTGTACCGCCTTTCCTCTACCCAAGAAACCTATCAAACATTGAGAAATTTATGACGAGATAATCAGAATTTTTATGTTGCAATACAAAGAAACAATATTTGCACACAAAAATACAAACAAGGGAATAATGAAAGCGTCAACATGTCAGCACGATCGTTTCCGAAGAAGTCAGAAAATTTACGAACATAGTTTCGATTTGGGTTGCACCTTCGATTAATTTTCTGCTGAAATCGAAATTAATAGCTGCTTGAGGAAGCGTGCGTGTAAGTTCAAGTCCGACAAGCTGAAACATTTCGTTTCCTAGCAAATCTCGGCACTACATCAAATACCGGATGTTGTGGGCGGATCATATTGTATCTTGCACTACCATGTTTTACAAAAGATTTATCCTTGATAAAAATTAATCAGTTTAATTGTTTTTGTCGCATCCGAAAGACGCCATAATCTAACTGGAATATTTTTTACGTGATCAAACTTCCAGTCAACTTATTTGCGCAAATGTTTACAACTGAGAATCATTAGGAATTATTATGATTAATCTCACTTCCTGTTTTGCTGTTTGGACGCTACTGATTGGGCGATAATATTTAGAAATAGTTTTTCAGTATTACTTGTACACGTGATGACCTTCAGAGCTTATCAGTTCGCTGTTTTCCGTGTGTTACACGTAACCTATTAATATATTTTGTAGGGATTTTTTAATGTCCTTGTTTTCTCATTTTTTTAGCAGATCCACCAATCATAAATTTAATTAATTAAAATATATATATATATATATATATATAAAAATTAATTTAATTCTGGTTGACGATAAATATACTAGGTGACACAAAAAATAACGTCAAGTAGATTGACTTCTTCCTGAGCCTTAGTGTTTCCGTGTTTTTGCCTCTAGCTCCGCCACCCCGAGATCGATTTTCAAAAACTTTTTCACCCTTGTCATAGTACTAACCTTGAGTGAAAATTTCAACAAAATCCGAGCAGTAATTCTCAAGTTATAGGCGATTATAAAATTAACGGACAGACCGACGCAATCACATGGTTTTTCGTGGTGTCATATCACATCCAAAAAACACTATATCTCAATTTCGAAATTTTTTGCGTTAACAAACTTCCTCCCCAGTTTTGGTATAGGAAGTAATAAAAACACCCAGTAATAAAGAGTTTAATACAACAAAGTTTTGTACACATGTGTGTTAGGGTTAGGTTAGTAATTGATTAAAATTTCAGAAAAATCCAACAATGTAAAAAACACGAAACACACTCCTAATAAGATGATCGATTTCCACTTGAGATATCTCACCCAGGCCACTTGTACCTCGTGTCGAAGTACCGTTGGAGTCTGTGAATGATGGGATAAACGGAGTAATATTCTTCCCATAATGTCCCAGACGAATTCAATGCGGAAAGATCGGGAGAATCTAGGGGCCAACGCAACAAATGAATGAACGTGATTCTGGCAATATGTGACCTCATGTTGATTTTGATGAACACTAAAGGTGGGCTATTTAAATAAGCAATAGCCACGGGTATCACAGTTCCAACAGTGTGGTGCACGTGGATTTCCATACAAAAGTGAGAATCTCGTCATTTATCTCGTCGCCTTCTCACCCTTGCAAGGCCATCACGCATCCCCAAACAGAATCTGGATCCATTGCTAAAGACAATGGCATTCCATTTAAGCAGTTGTTCTTTGCACCAAGCCTATCCATCACTTTGATATCTAGAATTGATAGCTAGGACAATCAGGCAGTATAAAGTAAGACCGGCGATAAACAATCCGCTGTTAAAAAATTTCTTGACTTCTCACTCTAGGCATAATGAACAGATCAAAATAGATTTTCACAACGTATTGTGCGAAGATCGAATGCCAATTGTAGCTACAAAGCACCACTATTTCTTACGTATTAATATTAATTTGTCATAGCCTAAACAAACATATACACTACCACCCAAAAGTTTTGGGACAGCAGATTTTTTGAGGGAAATCAAACCAAGTCAAGAGTATTTAATCAAAAAAAATAAGAAAGGAACTATTTTCCACTGGAACTCAGTTAGTTGGTAACTTATTTGTATCAAAATTTACTATAAATTCATAATTCATCGAAATGTCTACCACGAGCCCGAATAACTGCATGACAGTCACGACTCATCCGACGTATCAAATTTTCAAGAATAATTGGTGATAAGGATACCCACGCTTCCTGTACTAGTAGGGCTCTTGTTGCTTCACCAGTCTCTCCAATTCATCCTACTAATACTCAATATGAGTCAAATCTGGGGACTGGGAAGGCCATGTCGTGATTTTCATTGCACCAAGTTCTTGCTGCTGGTCCTAATAATTGCGGCATAGTCGAGATGAATGCTCAGAGTCGTTG